GCCGGTGAATGCCAAATGATTCAAATCCTTCTGTGGGGTCATCACTGACGCTAGGGAAAACGTGATGATGGGACTCAGATCCAATAGCGGGGACAGACCCGGAGACAGAGGGATGATTCCGCCAATCACGATCATCAAAAGGTTCGCTGTCGGATGGAAATCTCCTGGGGAGCACATCCTCTGATCCGATTTCCCCTATGGAAGTGGGTGAAGACATGCTGTCGAGGGACTTATTAAGGCCATCTGAGATGAGCGGAAGTGTGCATCTTTCATTCCTGGCGTCAGAATCGCTGAACGGCAAAAAGTTGGAGGCCGGGATGGGATTGGACAGAGAGGCAATGTCTTCATCAAAGATGGAATATCCCTTGGCAAGGTTGGCAAGCGATTGGGGAGACCCGATGGGATGTAGCTGGGACCGTGAAGATGGGTCATATCCGATATTGAGGGGAGGCACGGTGGTGAGAGTGCAAAGAGGCGGCGAGCTACCAGTAGAGCCGGGTCCCAAGCCACCACGCTCGCGATCCCGATCAGAATCCTTCTCCAAGGGCGTCGGGAAAGGATCGAGGATGTCATGCTCCATTTTGTCTGGGATCGATAGGCTAAATTCGACGGCAGGGATTCGTTCCCAAGTGTCCGGCCCTTGCATGGGCATGAATCCATACTTATGATGATCTTGTTCGTGCTGCAGGGCCGCGGCCTTCTCCCGTGCAGCCGCCAACGCAACGCGCTCGCTTTCGATGGATTCCTCGAGCTCACGAACACGGTCATTGAGCGCCATCACAACCTCTTCTGCGACGCTAACCTCTCGCTTTCGTTGTTTGACCTGGGCACTGATATCCGACTCCTCTTGTGCAGTCGCTTCGCCGGCCAATAGTATCGCCTGCCTCATCCTGTTGTACCTGCACCTCGAGCGCACGAATCTCCTCACCGAGTTTCTCGATACGTGTTCCCGCTTCTGCTTTGGCTTTCTGGGTGGCGCGAAGGCGGCGTTCGGCATCACGCTTGCCCGCTTCTGCTGCTCGTCTGTTATCCTCGAGTGCTTTTATACGCGCCTTGAGTTCACTACGGGCGACATCGTCAATGCGCTTTGCTTCGCGGACACTGGTCAACTCGGCACCGAGGGCGGCATCAACTGCGGTGGCTGCGCTAGTGTGCTCAGACAATTGATTGCGCAACCCAAGGTTGAGGGCGCGGGTCTGACTTATTTGTTGGATGAGCTCCGCAACAGCAGGGATAGAATCGAAATTTGGCGAAGGTCTGTTGGGAGCTGCACCACTTGTGGATGGTGGCGACGGGGGATAATGTTGAGGGAAAGGCCGTTGATGAGAAGCCGGAGGCTGGGGTGCGGTCAAAGACTGGCTGTGCTTGGGTGTGTGGAGAGGCAGCACGGCAGATTTCGGGAGCGGAGGTGGTGACGAACTGCGATGAGGATGCGATGTCGATCGATCACGAGAACGTAGTTTTGGAGGTGCCGATCGTTGAGGCGTGCGAGGGTCGTGGGTGGTGGTTGGGAAGGGAAGGCCTGCGTGCGACGGCGCGCCGAAAAGGAGTGGAACAAAGGGAAAAGTGCGTGAAAAATTCGGTCTATCATGTCATCATCGCTACGCTTACCGCTGAAATCTTCACGTCGGTCGAGTGCTTTAATGTTCAGAATCCCTGAGCTCCAGCCCTCTTCATCTCCCTTGGGATGAAGATCGGGCTGGGATGGCCAAGCGGGATCGACAACGCCGCCTCTCCACCATCTCCCGAAAGCCCCGACGAACCAGACTTCCTTGAGAGGAAAAGGGTCGTGATCCGAGGTCCCCGTGGCATTGCGAGTTGAGACGACAGAAGACATCTCGCGAGATGGGGGATTGGTCTTCGGATTAGGTATGACAGCGGCGATTGTGAAGAAACCGAAGCTATGGAAGGCGTGGCGTGGCGTGCGGAGAGCAATAGCAGCGCGATTAGAGAAATGAAACGCGGATGAGCCTGATTCGAGTGAACCGAAGCTTGAAGGTGATCGGGGTGAAGAGGAGCAGTAGTCGTCCGTCTTTGAACCTTCGGTGTTTGTGTGATCAGGGTCTGAGGGATCGTCGAGTCGGGAAAGGTGATGGCGAAAGGATCGCTCTGTGAGATAAGACCGAAAGGAGGTTTCTGATGGGTTTGTGAGGTAGGCTAGAAAAAGATGTACGCGATGAGTAAGGACGTATAGAGCAGACATGAGGATGGAAGTGCAACGGAGGAGGAAATCATGCATCACGTTGGGCCAAGCCTCAGTCATGTTTGCCGAGCAAAGCGAAATGATGAAAACGGAAAAGGAAAGGGCAAATGAAAAGAGTTATCGGAGACACTGACCAAGACAAAGGAAGAGGAAAATGATGAGGGTAGCGATGAACATGGACCTGAACTCTATGCGGGTGGTGAAGAGAGAGAAGTAGGATTGGGGGGAGGGAGGGGTAGCTGCGGTGGATGTCGCCAGCATGACTCCCAAAGTTCCGCAGGCGAAAGAAAGGGAGAACTTGAGCAAAGGGTGGTCGTTGGGTGAAGCTGGATTCTGATCAGTGAGCGAGGCCGTTGTGAGAAGGGGACGTCCGCGACGAAGCGTCGTCCCCGTTGTGTTTGTCTTTTGACTCGACGACGACAACGAAATCCTCCGTCGCTCACTCAAAATTTCTCAAAAAAATTATAGTATTACTGCATTCTTTCTCACGACGTAAATGAATGGGGATGGCTCGAACTTAAGTCTACTCTTCTATCATATCCCCGTCGTCTGAGCACACCGCCTACAGCTGTCAGCTCGTCCCCGCGGTCGGCTCAGAAGGAGGTGCTCTACTTGGTGGCTCCTCCGCTGCAATTTCTATTTCTGCCTCGATCCGCTCACGCGCCCGTACTACCTTTGACTGAAGGTAATGCGAATGCCGAGACGTTGGCGCACCTCGCGCACCAGGCGAGGCTGGTGGCGGCACCTCTGGGGGCGAGTTTGCCTTGAACAAGTGTCCATAGTTCTAATCGTCGGAAAGAGGAAGCGGCGGAGGGGGAGACGTGTCAAGTCCAGGGACGGTTTGAGTAAATTATGAACGTACTTGTAGGATCTGCTCTAAGCCATCCCCGCGTTTCGTGTTGAGAATTAGATGCGCTTCGTCCAGTGTCATCCTATGCTCGCGAGTCAGCTTGTCCGTCATAGAACCCGTCGTCGCATTCCCAACGCCTGCGACGTCTGAACCCATAGCGCCTTGGGGGCGGTGTTTTGCATCTACATCAGAAAGAAAGGATAAAAAACCCAAGGAGAGCAAGCTTAGCCGTCTAGTGGTTGCTACGTGAAGCCTCCTGCACGAAAACACACTTTTCGCAGCCTGTCGGGCGGCCTCCAGTAGTGCCTTTCCAAATATTTGGGTTCCGGTAATAAGGATTTGGATGATAATTTTCGGTGCCGACTGGGGAAAGCAGAAACCGTATGTCATTGCGCCATAAATACGAGCCATGATACATACCATGCGGTGCCTCGCTCGACTGATGCGGAGGGTTGATGACGGACTTGCTTGTGCTAGTCGTACGCGCCAAACTTCCTCAGCCAAGGGCGGCATGTGCCGGAACGTGTACCGGAACTTCGGACCGATCAGTGCTTGGCGCGTTGGTGAAGTGATCGATGGCTCATCATCCCCGACCCCGCCACCAACGAAACGAAACAAAAAAAAATATTGTGGGGACCCATGGACGTGGATCCGTCACCCAAAAGGGCACGCGATGAGTTCCGCTCCGTCAAGGCATCTATTGTCCTTGCTGTCCCTCCCGTCTTTGCAAATCGACTGCGATGCGGCGCGGAGGAGATGCTCGACACCATGATCATGAGGTGTGCCCTTTCGTAGCTCTCAGCCCCCCCCCCCAAGCAGCTCCGTTCCTCTCATCACCTCCTCCTCGTGCGCCTTGCAGGTACGAGCCCGCGCTAAATGGTGTTGTCCTCGCCCACTCAGACGTTCACTTCCTCAACCGTGTCGCGCGGCTCCAGGCAGATAGCCCGTTCGCGATTTGCCGTGTAGGATTCGAGGCTCTCGTCTGGAACCCTACAATCGGCATGAAACTCAGTGCGTGTCATCGTCGCCTCCTCTCTCGCGTCTCTCATCCTAACTCGGAGGGGATGTTCCCATATCACCTTCCTGTGCTGACAAATTGCTACGACACCAGCCGGACGGGTGGCTCTTTGCTCTCCCGATCACGTATCGTTGCTCGTGCATCGCACGTTCAACGTGTCCATTCCGCGGCACCACATACCCACGGATCAGTGGGAGTTCGAGTATGGCCCGGCGGAGAACGACCCCGAATATGGCAACGTCGATGATGACATGGATGCATATGCTACCGCAGACGCCAAAGGGGACGATGCGCAGCCTCCTGATCATCGCGGGCGCTGGGTTCACAAGGTCACTGGCGACCGCCTTGGAGGGAAAGACCGATGGCTCCAGTTCACGGTTGTGGGGTGGGCCTCCTTGCATTTTTTTTCTTAGTGTTGTGAGTGTCTAACTACCAGCCCCACACAGGACTAACCGTCGCGAATCAAATGCTCTCTTTAATTGGTTCCGTACAACCCAACCCTTTCTCCCCAGACCATATTTCACAGACGAAACTCGATCGGGAACAACGCCAGCCATCGCCACGCCCAGTCGCCGAATCAGAAGCATCGGATGGCGAAGAGCCGGACGCGTTCACCGTCGAGCCAAGTTCGGCCGGCGACGAACGCGGGCAGCGACGGAAGGAGAAAGAAAGGAGAGGAAAGGGGGAAACGCTAATGCCGAGAGGGAAGGAGGAGAAGGCGAAGCGGAAACGAAAAGGGGCCAATGACGTGCCCAAGTCGGAACACAAGCCAAAACGTAGAAAGGCGTCGTAGGAGGAGCTGTCAGATGGTTGTCCAAGTCGTTCGCTACAGTTAAACTTTGATTGAGCTCTGCGAGAATGGCCCGCGGCAGATCATTTGTATCACTGGTAGTCTGTTTCCAAACCAAACTAGTATCATTGAAAACAAAAGGTACTACCAGGACTCGAACCTGGGTTAACGGAATCCAATTCCATCAGAATCCGCTGTGATAACCGCTACACTATAGCACCATCATCTTCTGAATGATGGATCATACAGATCTAGGAGATTGTACCTAGTCGTCTTATCTAATCCTTTGCAGCACAGCATACATTCCCTTTTCCCCGACTTCTGCATGCTCTCCTTCCCATTGCACGGTCCTCCAATAAGCCGCAATTCATGATGGACTCATTTGACTCGGAGGGCTTCCCTGCGAGCGGCTCGCGGCTCCTTTCGCAATCTCCCCAATTCTCCTTTGCCTCCGCCAACTCAACTGTAAACACAGGACCAGGGGGAGACGATCTCTCACTCTCCGAGCTCTACTCCGACAATCTCCTCCCCGGAAGGCAAGTCCGGACCGCCCACAACCCAAAAACGCGACCGTCGATCGCTCAAGCTCTCGGTTTTGGCGCGCCGCTCGATCAGTCCGACGACCAGAGCATGTTGAAAGAGGGGGAAGAGGGCGGGGGAGAGCTCGATGATGAAGAAGGTGCTGGCGAGGCTGATGTGACCGTGACCGTGCGTGGAAGCGGCGAGGATGCGGACAGGACAACTATTGCCACCCAATCGCGAGAGGAGAAGATGCAACGCGATATTCTCTTGCTGCGACAGTTGAATAGCACATTCGCGGTATACAACGACGCGCTTCGGCAGGCGCAAGCGGCCACGGGAGTGAGTCGCCCATATTGGCTCCGCTTGCAATTGTTACGCTGATGCGAGTTTTCTTTTCTATTTTTCTATCCACCGACAGCGTATTGCCAAGCAGCTCGAGCAGACAGACGTGCTTCTCAACAAGTACATCAACATTCTTTCCAAGTCCGAGCAGTTCTCGCGGCTCATTTTTGACGAGCGATGGATCGGCGCCGAGGCGGTATGTATCCAAGTCGTCTCTTTCTCCCGCCTCCCCCCCTTGGCGGTGCTCTGACACTTGCGTGCTGGGCTCAGGACGAAGCGCTGCTTGAAGAGGAGGCACGTGTGCAGGAAGAACGGCGTCGTCGCGAAGACGAGGAACGCAAACGCGCGGCGCATCGCGAGCAGGAGCGGAGGGAGAAGGAGGAGCTCGAGCGTGCCATGCGCGATGAAGCGGAGCGTCTGGAGCGCGAGAAGAGAGACAGAACGGCTGCGCGGAGCAGTAGCGGCGTGCGAGGTGTACGTGGTACACGTGCATTCATGCGCGCCGGTGCTACGACGAGAGGGGTCTCGAGGTCAGGTGCGCAATGTTTCACACCTCTCTGCTGAGAGGTCTTTTTTTTATTTTAGAAAAACTCTGTTGCAGTGTCTGCCTCGTCCACTGGTGCTAGCGGTCACACCAAAGCAACGAGCGGGACGGCCTCGAAAACCGCAAGGCCGTCGTCTGCTGTGTCCACAACACGGGGCACAACTGGCATACCTCGCGGCGTGTCGAAACGACCTTGATAGAAACGCAGATCATGACCCCTTACGTTGATCGTACTCAGCGTTCCTCGATCTTCGCTGGTCCTTTTCATGGAGCCGGGCGGCTGAAACCCATTGCGCCAAGGTGTTCCAATCATCCCTGCATATGGCCGTCATGGTCTGGCATAGAATGGATGCTTGCTGCTTTCCGGTTTCCGCGCGTTCACAATTGAGTCCCTCGCCGATCATAAATGACCGCGTTCAGTACAGTAATTAATAAAACGTTGATTACTTAATCACCATCTTTGCGTTCAAGCTGTGCTCGCCGTCAGGCAGGATGTCGAAACGACGCGCCCACGCAACTAGCGACCTCGACATCGCAACGTCCTCTATGTCAGGCGAGACCTCAGATGTAGATCATTCCTTCGACATTTCATCTGCCCTGGCGCAGAAGGGCAAAGCCCCGGGCCTTCTCTCGCAGGACGACGGTACAGACGATGACATGGAGCTCGAGGAAATGATAAGGAATTCTATATCCAGGCGCAATGTCAAGAATGGCACTGAGTTGCTGAAAAATACCAAGGGCAAGAAAAAGTTGGCGAGAGGAGAGCTGGGCGGAGGAAGTTTCCAGAGCATGGGTAACTCCCTCCCCATCATCCGTGTCATCCCAACCCTCATTATTTTCTTTTCCCAGGGCTCTTCCCATGGCTTTTACGCTCCCTCTCCCTTCAGGGTTTCCGTACACCCACTCCTATCCAGCGACTTTCCATCCCTGTTCTTCTTGCCAACCCCCCTCGAGACCTGGTCGGCATGGCGCGCACAGGATCAGGCAAAAGTCTTGCCTTCCTTGTTCCCCTTGTTCAGCGCTTGGGAGGGCGGCATTCACCCATGTTTGGGGCTCGGGCCCTTATTCTTTTACCCACTCGAGAACTCGCCCTTCAAATCCTCAAGGTAGGGAAGGAGCTCGCCCGTGGTTGGCGAGATAGACATGCCGGCGATAAGGACGGGGACAACTCTGAAAGCCGGAACAGGGGTCAAGGTTTGCGCTGGGGCCTGGTAGTCGGAGGAGAGGGCATGGATGAACAGTTTGAGATGATTTCGAGCAATCCAGACGTGTACGGCCTCCTTCCACGCTCCATGAGACCCCCGATCTGATAAACACCCGTTTTCCCTAGCATCATTGCCACCCCAGGACGACTCCTGCACCTTGCGGTAGAGATGAACCTCGACCTCCGCTCTGTGCAGTACGTCGTTTTCGACGAGGCGGACCGCCTTTTTGAGATGGGTTTCGAGATGGCTCTCACAGAAATCATACACCGCCTCCCCGCAAGTCGTCAAACCCTCCTTTTCTCGGCGACGTTGCCCAAGTCACTTGTGGACTTTGCCAAGGCCGGCTTGCAAAACCCGAAACTCGTACGTCTCGACGCAGAGAGCAAAATCAGCTCGGACCTCCGAATGGCGTTCTTCTCTGTCAAGCAGGACGAGAAGGATGCGTGCCTGCTCGTTCTCCTGCGTGACATCATTCGAGTCCCATTGGGCCCGACGGGATCGAATGATCAGGAACCAGGTGACGAGGCAAAAGGCAAACGCGTTTTCCAAGATCAGTTCACGGCACCACACCAGACCCTTGTGTTTGCGGCCACGAAGCATCACATCGAGTACCTCACAGCACTCCTCACTGCCGCCGGTTATGCCGTCTCGCACATATATGGCTCACTCGATCAGTCCGCGCGTAAGCAACAGATGGATCAGTTCCGACGCGGCCGTACGAACGTCCTAGTGGTGACGGACGTGGCTGCACGAGGGATCGATATTCCTGTCTTGGCGAACGTAGTCAACTACGACTTTCCGCAAGGTGCACGCGTGTTTGTGCACCGAGTGGGGCGCACAGCCCGTGCGGGACGGTCTGGCTGGGCGTGGTCGTTTGTGAGCTCCACCGAACTCCCTTATCTCGTCGAACTACAACTATTCCTTGGACGCCCTCTCACGCGCGATGCACCAGGCGACAGCGAAGCATCGTACGCTGACAGTCTCGTGCTCGGAGCATTTCCGCGTGAAGTAGTTGACGACGAAGTCGGTTACGTACGGGCCCTCGAGGTTGAACACCATGCGTTACCCACGTTGCGGAATGTTATGCGTAAAGGACAAGGTCTGTACGAGCGATCTCGCGGTCACGCGAGTCCCGCGAGCTATGCGCGCGCAAAAGAGATGTCGCGAGAGCCTTCACGCTGGGGTCTCGTTGCCGCTGCCGCTGCTGGCGGTACGCATCCTGTGCTGCGGTTAAAGAGCCGTACTGTAGGGGGACGCTCCGTGGGTGAAGATGAGCGTCGCCGTGCGTTACTTGCCGTTGTGGACTCGTTCCGGCCTGTTGAGACCGCCCTCGAGATTGGCTCCCGTGGGAAGAATGGGAACGCGGATCTAATGAAGGAACGGAGGAAGGCGCTTTCGAAGGCCACGGAGCGAAGGACGATAATTGAGGTATCTGATGGTGGCGGAGGCGCTGCCGACAACCAGGAATGCTCACGACTACCAGGAGATTCGGGAATGGCAGACGACGAGGACATCGATGTGTGTTCTGCCACTGTTTCGTGTCGTGTGTGAGTATCGCCCTGATGAATACCATCCCATAGGCCGTCTTTGGGTCACTGCCATCATCAAGGCCCTTGAAGGGGAAGTACCACGACTCGGAGTTTTATATTCCCTACAGCCAAGCAGGGTCTAGCGGGGACAAAGGGTGCGCCCTATTCGGATCGATTAAGGTGAAGCTTACGAAAACTCAGATATTCTCTGCGGGACGGGGAGTCATTCGCCGAGCAGGCACGACATGCCACTTTTGATCTCGCTGGGGACGAGGGGATGGCTGTCCAGAAACGTGTTCAATCCAAGTTGACTTGGAACAAGAAAAAGAAAAAGTTTGTGCGCGGCGATGGCGCCGGCGCCGACAACATCAAGATGGTCAGGACTGAAAGTGGTGTCAAGCTTCCTGCGTCCTATCGTAGTGGGCGGTTCGACGAATGGCGCGCCAAGGCACGCGCCAACCTGCCTCGCGTTGGCGAGGTGGCCCCAGATCCCCGCCCTCGAGATCGCAAGCGTTTCAAACACACTTCGATTACAGTTGCCAAGCCTCTTGATAAACTCGCGACGAACTATGAAAGGAAAGCCCGTGCTCAGAAACAATTGGAGGGTGTCGGGACGAAGACCGAGGTGGAGCCTACTAGGAACGGTCGCCACAACAACACAAAGGCGCTTACAAGAGCGAGACGATATGGTGACAAGTCTTTGGGTCAGGTACGCAGTGAAATCAAAACGGTCGAGCAAATTCGCAAGGCTCGGAAGACTATGGATAAGCGAAAGGCGAAGAATGCCCGACCGAGCCGCAAGAAGGGGAAGCGATAGAGAGAAACACTTACTGTGCAGAGACCCGCGTTGTTCAGCTCAGTGCCCCGTCATCGATGTCGATTTGGGGTCCTGTGCCTTTGAGGCTTACAGCTCTGCCTCTTGCCCTGCTGCCTAGGTTTTTCCGATATCCAGGCTGTTCCGGTTCTAGCACAAGAATCGCAGTTCGGATGTTGGCGCAAACAAGGAAGGTTTAGGGAAGAGTAGCACTTGGTTCGCAACGGAGATGCGCACAGGATGGAATTTTTCGTTATGACATTCT